AAAGAGTCACTCAAAGGCTGCAGCAGTAGGAGGAAAATGAATACTAGAAATTCAGGGTAACTTACAGCACAGGTGCCTGGGAGCTTTGCATGGAGTGTCATTTGCTCCTGCAAGAGCCTGGTCACCTGCATTAGGGCTGTCACCAGGCAGGGAGGGATTGCATTGTTTCTTGGCCAGGACGTCATGTTAGCACTCAATTTGTTCTTGTAGATGTCATCATCACACGCCGCTTGAGAGACCGGGAGTTGCTCCGGAAAAGAAAAGCAGAAGCCCAGGAGAAAGACTCAATTCAGTGGGTTCTGGGGTAAATTTTACTTACACCATGGAGTCATTGTATTCTACGCGTAACCTGTGCTCAGGCATAGCAGCCCAGCAACTCTGTGCTCATGCAGTGACGGAGAGCTGGAAGAGACTCCCTTGCCACAGCCCTGCCTCTTGTTCCCTGGGATTTAGGTGGGTGCCAGAAAATATCTCTTACCTGCCCAAGCTAGTCAGCAGCAGCTCCTGTTTCGCATTGCCTGTGCCCATGCCCAGACTGGGGGAGTGCAGCGTACTGTGGGCACTAGGGCAGTTGGCTTGGGGGGACAGGGCTGAGCTGTGCTCCCTACATCTCTTGAAGGGAGAGGTCCCTGCTCAAGCAGATAGCCTGTAGCCAGCAGCTGCTAGAGCTCCGGGTTGGGATCAAGGGACTGAGCAATTTAATGTAGTTGTTTTTTTTTTTTAAATGCAAAAATGCAGTTTCTGTTGGGATAAAACAGGTGACACTCACAGCTTGGGGCCTGGCAAAGCTCTTTCTGGGCAGCAGGCTCTGGGATCTTGAGCGAGGAAACCAATACCAGATGAAGAGAGAAAGATGTCTCCTCTGTGCCCAACTCCTTGTCTGTGTCCCGGCAGGGAGCAGGAGAAGAGCAAACGGCAAAAGAGAGGCAGAGGAGCAGGGAGAGGACGAGGCCGCCAGCCGGTTACGGAGCCCAGTCCGGAGCCCAATCCAGAGCCAGACCCTCAGCCCGAAGTGCTGGAGGAAACTGAGCACCCACTGACTGAGCCGGCAGCGCCCACGCCAGCGTGTCAAGCCCCGTCGCCCCCACTCACAACTCAGGAGCTCTTTGGTGGGACCCTGCAGGGAGCTGTGGAAAGGGAGTTGGCGGACGGGAGCCAGTATCCAGAGGGTGAGCTACCGGATAGGGGCTGCAGTCAAGGGGGTGGTGGGCAAGGCCCCATAGGGTGAGTGTCCAGGGACTGCAGTGCCACGTTTCCAGGTTTTTTGCCAACAAATGTGCCAAGGTTTTCAACAGCCAACTCTTGGCACAAGGGCCCAGGTATCTGCTCCTGAAACCTGATCAGGGTAGCTGTGAGGGGGTGGTTGGAGTGAGGGGGCAGATGCTGCTCTCCAAGTCATGGAGAGTGATCAAAGCCCACTGCTGTCAGCAGGTCAATGACATGGAGCCTCTGATCTCTGAGCAGGTCATTGTCCCAACAGCATCTGTGTGGGCCTTCTCACACTGAGAACAAGTGGCTGTGTCCTAACCTTTATAGGAGGAAAGTTCAAAGACGCTTTGTCCTCAGCAGCAGCTGGTTCACTGACAAGTTTCTGCCTGAGGTCCTCTGCTGCCTGAAACAAAAGCAATTAGAAAGTGAGGGTCAGGCTTAGCCAAGCATGATGGTGGGTCACCGTGGTCCTCACATTTCTGCCAAGACCCAAGACAGCGTGACACAGTCTCTGAAGACTGCTGGTCAGGGAGCACCAAGGCGCAAACGTGCTCCAGCCACAATCTACCAGTCTGACCCCAGGGTGGTGGGAAGGCAGAGGTGGGAGCTGGAACAAAGTGTGAATGTTTGCTGGGAGCTACCCTCTTTTGGACTCACCTGAGCAAGGGCTCCTAGGGCTGAGCCGGGACGGGACCTAAACTTGTCTGAACAGCAAATTGCGGTCTGGGCTCAGGACATCCATTCACTGTGAATGCTGCTTGCGCCAGCAGAACTTATTCTCAGATCTGGCTTGGGAAGAAGAAAGACAATTTCTTTTAACAGTCAGTGTGAACTAAGCATATGGGTTGCTTCAAAACTAGGAAAACCTGGGATCTATGTTTCACAGGAGGCAAGCATCCTTCGATCCCAGAGCTTCAACAAGCAATGAGCCAGGGAGCCTTGGGAGCCCTTTGCATTTCTAGTGCACATTGCAGGGGGAGGGAAGGAGAAGCCTTCTGCTGCAAGGCATGGTATAGGCTTGTGCCATGGAAAATAACCATTCTGCAACTTGGGGCCAGACGCTAGACAGGACATGTCACATGAATCCAGCACCCTGGAGATCCAAGCCCTGAGATCTTGAAAATCACCAACTTTAGGGCTGCATTTATTTGTCTTCTGCCTCTGAACCCATTGGGGTTTACTCCTTCCAGCTCTCCTCCACAATCCAGGGCATTGCCGTGCCATTTAAAAAGCAGAAAAGCTGCCAGAAACCATTTCAGGTATCGTGCAACCACAGGAGTCCAGCCACTAGAGTTTTAGTTCAGCACAGCATTGAGGGGTAAAGCTCAAGAGCCCTCTAATGTGGCATGATCTGTCTCTTAAATGCTTTACAGGTGAAGAGGCAGTCCTGAAACCAGCTGAAGCAGAAATTCCGGAGGCTTTGAATATTCCTCTGGAAAATGACCACCAGGATAATGAATACTACACACCAGTTCTATTTTAATTTTTTGTTTTGTCTTCTGTCTGATAAACTCAAGCATTGTAGAGTGATTTAGATCAGCTGTTTCCATGTGAGTAATAAAACTCAGCTCTCCTGGCAAGTCCCCTTCTTATACTACTTTTAGGCTGTGATAGGGGAAATGCAGTTGCATCTGGAAAGGCAGTCCTTTTGGAATTGCCTGCAGAGGATGGTTCATGCTCCCCCTGCCCTCTCTGCCAGCATGTCTCCCCTGTATGGTGGTCCTAGAAAACTCCGAACTGGTGCCCTACTGGTATGCAGTTTAGGTGTACAGCCTAAGTGTACAAACCAGCACTCGTCCAGGTTTCCAAAAGGCAGTTTTGATTTGCTCAGCAGAAATGCAAGTCATATTGCGAAGCTAAACCCCACTGAGACTTTTAGGTGGCTGGAGCTCTGTGGCGGGGACTTTTTTCTGCATGGTGAACCCTACAGCCCCTTGCACCATTATCTTCAGTCTGAAGATCTTTCTCACAGTCAGTTTTCCTCTCTGGTACCTTATTCACTTTCCTAAAGCCTGGAAAGTGTTTTGTTTTTATCTGCTGAGTGAATTCACTCCAACCCTGCTGAGCTGCATTGGCCAGACGAAAGATGGATGAAAATAGCTGTGTGTGACGGACTAAGAATAGGCTGAACCATACAATTTTGTTAGGAAAATGCCATGTGGGACAAGGACAGAAGGCCCCTCTGCACAGCTGGCTCCCCAGCTAGCCTTCAGGGCAAGATTTCAAACACATGGATGCCTCATGGTGCCTGTGTCGTGAACCCAGACTTTCTCATGAAGTAATGACAGAATGTGACTTCCTTTCTGTCTTCATACGTTTTGGGTGTTGAGGTCTTCTCCTCTGTGCATGTGTGGGCAGCTTTTCTAGGTTTCTGTAATATCCAGATGGTCTTCTTCATCTTGGGGTGGGATGGGGCTCTCTGTTGCCGTTATCTGACTTAGTGAATTCCTTGGCTGGTCTCCCAGAGCACAGGGCTGGCCAGCCCTGAGGTCACTCTTGATTTTGAGGGATTTATGGATTTTTATGGCTGAATAACCAGTGAGATGTCCCTGCCAGTGGCTCAGAGCCATGAAGGCTTCACAGATATCTGCATGTTGCGCCTTCACCTGTGTTGGTCCCAGGGATATAGCACAAGGAACTATAGCACACTTGTGTTTAGCGCAGCATCCTCTCCATCTTCTGAAATCCTAGTTTCACCTCTGCAGTTACAATGCCAGAGGCGCTAAAGCACCTTGTGGTTGTCAAAGCAGAAATCTTCCACTAGCCCTGTAAGCAAACGAGTGCAGCACATTTCCCATGGGCAATTACTGGAGGGACCAGTTCCCCATTCAGGTATCTTGGCATCACTTTGATCTCTGTAATAGGTGATCCCAGACTTCCCAACTAACATAAAGTTGTGTTATCCCCTCGAGCACCAGTTACAGATGGGAGCAGTGCAAGATCTCTTGTTTTCTTCCATGAGCTACCCAAGCCTCTTCCTGTACTCATTCATAACCCCATCTACTTAAAATACAGCCCAAGGGACTTGTGGAAGCTCTGTAACATGGAGGAAACCCAGGAAAGTGACATTTCCAGCTCAGTTAGACAAAGGTGTAGGAGAACAGGTCACAAGAGGCTGGTGTGGTGCAGGTCTTTCAGAGGAAAGTGATGCCTCTGGAGCCTTCACCAGTCCACAGAAGAGGGAAGTCATTGCAGAGCAATGGCTGTTTGCTGGTCAAATCCAGGGAAGGTTTTCAGGCTCTCTGTGGCCGGACTGGGGAGGATGCTGTATTCAGACCAAGGTGGTGGTAAAAGGCAGGCCGACGTGCAGATTAGGTTACACCAGCCCAAAGCGGAGCTGAAAGGAGGAAGCGGTGTTACGGTTCAGTGCCATCACAAACACTTTGCTGGGTTCCTCCTGCAAGCATAGCTGTCCACACTGTGTTGTGAGGAGGCCAGATTGCAGGAGCTCCTCCTGCCAGGGGGATCCCACAGAGGCAGAGGAACAGCCCATGAGACCCTTCTGTCTCACCAGTTCCCACTTCTGTAAGGCTTTAGACTCCCCTCATTGCCCCCATCAGTCAAGGAGGACAAAAAATACCCATGTTTTCCCCCTTTCCAGTGCTGTTCAAGTGAAGCTGGAAGTGGTGGTGAAGGCTTGGCACAAGATTTCTGTGAACAGGAGGCCACATTAGTTGCCCACTCACAGGGAGGATCCCATTGGGACACCCTCCTCTTCTGGAGGAGGGCTGAGGGAAGTCCCAGATGCTGTGGAGGGCACCCGCTTCCTGGTAGCCTCTGCCACCCGTGGCCGTGCAAGGGGGACCAGTGTCAGCCAGATGAGGCAAATTTCCTACAGGAGCCCCATTGCCCTCAGCCACCTGAGAGGAAAGTGAGGGCCAGCCACCCCAGGGACCAGGTGCTGGGCTTGGGAGCCTCTGCCAGGCCTCCTGTCTGCAGCAATTGCTGTGGACTTGGCTGGGCTCCCAGCTCTTGCAACTCTAGACAAGCTACCTTCAGCCTGGCCATGAGCATTGCTATAAGCCAGTCACCTCAGGCTGGGGGTCATCTGTTTCCACCTGCTTTGCCTAGAAAACACTGAGAGTCTCGTATGTCTGCGGTATTCAAGGGAACTGTGGGACGCTGATGCATATGGCCACCTTGAACCGTTTTGACTTCTGTGGACTATTCTGCTTGCCTGGGAAGAAGAAAACTGAGGCGCTGTGCACACATGTGTACAGTGGCGCTGTTCTGGCACTGCTAGGTCTAGGGAGCTCTCTGTGGGAACTGGCTCAAGGGAACCAGAACAGGCCATAAAAAGCACCTCTTCCTACTGGGAAGATGCCATCACTGGACAAGGGGTCCTGGAGCTAGCCAGGCTACAGCGCTCTTCTTGTTAAAGCTGCTCCCACTCTAACTGGTTGCTCCTGCAGCCCGTAAGAAAGGCGTGCCTTCATGTAACATATCTTATCACAGAATAACCAAGACAGCGATAACACTTTCCTTATCAGCACTTTTACTCACAACTAGTGTTTCTTCCTCTGACAAGCAAACAGATGCCAGAGCGCCTTGCTTGTAGGGAATATACAGGGGTTCAGGTGAAAAGTAGGACACACAGGGGTCCTTCTGCACCTCTGAGAAGGGTTCTGCCATCTGAATGGGGCTGATGATCAGCTGGAAAGAGCTGCTATATCTTGGGGAGAGAGGCTGCCATTCTGCTAACACAATGCACAAGTCTATCCCTTCCTTCCCTCCTTCATCCTGTCCCCAGGGAGGAGCTGTGGCTCCTCTTTACCCAGCGCCATTAACAAAGTGAGTAGCAGGTGCAGCCAGATGGCTTTTGAGCTATGGGGCCAGCACAGGGTGCTGGGTCAGTGCCCGACATTACACTCTCCTCTCGGCTGTGCTATATCAGTGATAGGGCTTAGCAAAGCTCTTCCAGGATGTCCCATTCTGCCATGTAGACCAAGAGCCATGCAGTAAGTAACCTGGTAGGGGAGACACCATGATCAGGTAGGTGGTTTTCTCAAGGTAACGCTCATCCTTTGCATTCCAGGTGTGCTGGCCCCTGCAGTTTCCCTAAATGCAGGAAACTCAACTGCATAGTTTGTAGTAGTGGGGGACTGTGTTCACACTCTCCCAAAAATAACTTTTGGACGTCTGTAGCTAGCGGTGTTCCCCAGGGGTCAATACCAGGTCCAGTATTATTTAACTTATTCATCAGTGACCTGGATGAAGGGACAGAGTGCACCCTCAGCAAGTTCGCTGATGATACAAGACTGGGAGGAGGGGCTGATACCCCAGAAGGCTGTGCTGCCATTCAGAGGGACTGCAACAGGCTGGAGAGACAAGCAGAAAGGAGCCTCATGAAATTCAACAAAGGCAAGAGCAGGGTCCTGCACCTGGGGAGGAAGAACCCCAGGCAGCAGGACAGGCTGGGGGTTGACCTGCTGGAAAGCAGCTCTGCAGAGAAGGACCTGGGAGTCCTGGTGGACAACAAGTTAGTCCGTCTCTATGGCTTGTCCACGGCTATTCAGAAATATGCTGCAAGAGAGATGTGGCACTACTGAAGAGAGTCCAGTGGAGGGCTACCAAGATGATGAGGGGGCTGGAGCACGTCTCCTCTGAAGAAAGGCTGCGAGAGCTGGGCCTGTTCAGCCTGGAGAAGAGAAGACTGAGGGGGGATCTGATCAACGTGTATAAGTATCTGAAGGGGGGGTGTCAAGAGGATGAGGCCAGTCTCTTGTCCGTGGTGCCCAGTGACAGGACAAGAGGCAACGGGCAGAAACGTAACCACAGGAAGTTCCACCTAAACCTGGTGGAACTTCTTCGCTGTGAGGGTGACAGAGCAGTGGCACAGGTTGCCCAGAGAGGTAGTGGAGTCTCCTTTGCTGGAGATATTCAAAACCCGTCTGGACGCTATCCTGTGCAATGTGCTCTAGACGACCCTGTTTGGGCAGAGCAGTTGGTCTAGATGATCTTCAGAGGTCCCTTCCAAACTTGGCCATTCTGTGATTCTGTGACGCCAAGAGCCGTGCAGACTAAGGTGGGTGCACTGTGACATGCAAGGCAAATGGGTCAAGCAGGTACGACCACTGTGATTATTTCCTTCTTGGTCATATTCAGCTTGGCGTTTGCTAAAGCAACAGGATCGTGCAGATCACATTGCTGTGAGCTGCTCTCTGGGCCACATGTCCTATGCCAATGTCTTAAAAAGCTTGGGAAGACTTTCTAGACGCCTGAGGGGTGAAGGCCATGGCAGGGAACCTAAGGAGAGGGAAGCTGGTATCATAGCCAGGAGGACCAGATTCTCCTCTGCCCATTGCCACTCACCTCTCAAGATCCCTCTAGGAAACCTGTGAAGACAGAAAGAGACGGGGCCCCCCTAAGTATATGGGGCCCTTTATAAGCAAGATCTAAGCAAGCTTCCAGGGACCCCAGAGATTATCAAGGCAAAGGAGGTCCTGAGCCAGACATGGTTCCTGCCACAGGGAGACTTGTCCCAGCTGAGAAGCTGCTCAGCCACCAGACACTTGGTGAGACGAGAAACTGCAAATCTCCCAGGCCAAAGGCTGGAGGCAAGGTTTCT